ATTTATAATACTATATTTAGCCTTATTAATAATAAAAGGCTAAAAGGTTTCTAGTTTCTTTTAATAAGTATTTACTAACTTATAGCCTAATACTTAGTCTATTACCTTATAATTATTATTATAAACTATAATAAATAAATAAAAGCTATATTAAATAAGTAGTTCTTAGGTATTTAATAATAACTTTATATTTACTACATTAACTTTAATATTATACTTAAGGCTAAGTAAAAGTAGCTTAAAGACTATACTTATAGTAATAATAGTAGTAAGTCTAATAATAAAGCCTATTAGCTAATAATATAAGTAATAGCCTAGCTTAATAATAAAAACTAGGCCTATATTACTATACTAGTTAATAAGCCTCTTTTTTATATATATTATAGGGTCTTAATAATATAAAAGCTTATTATTTTTACTAAGACTAAGTATACCTTTAAGGAAGCTTAGACTAAGCTTTATAAAGAGTTTATTAACTAACGCCTAATCCTTTAGTATCTATATATAATATATTTACTCTTAAAAGTATAGTAGGCTTACTACTTTATTTAAAAATACTAGAACTTTAGTATTTATATTACCTCTAGTATAAAGTTAAGTAATAATAATATTAAAGGTTATCTCTTAAATAATCTTACTTATCTATATTAACTTATTAATATTATATAAAATATAATTAGTAACTAAGAGCTATACTTTAGATATATATATATAAAAAATAAAGTCTTTTAATACTTAAAGTATATAGGTCTTTACCTTAAGCTTTTTAGTAAACTTTATATACTATTTTTCTTAAAGTATTTAGTATTAATTAAAAAGTAGTACTAGCTAATAAAAAAAGTAATATTTTTTAATAAAAGACTATTCTTAGACCTTATTAAAGAATATAGTCTAGACTATACTATTTTAACTAAGCTTAGTATCTTATATTACTATAAAATCTTTACTAAAATACTTAGTTTAGTAGCTTTTAGTAAGTAAAAAGTATACTTTTAGTAGTATCTTTAAGAGATATTTTCTTTTAATTTATACTACTAAATCCTTAATCTAAAGATTATAGTATCTCTTTATAGTAAGCTAAAGAATATAATATAGCTTATTTTATTATAATTATTTTTACTAAAAGAAGGCTACTTAACTAGCTAAACCTATACTTTTAGTAAAAGCTAAAGTATAAAAAATAAAAAGTATAGTTATTTATTAAGAAGTAAAAATAAGTTAATACTAGCTAGGTCTATATAAAAGAAAAGTTAACTAATTTAAAGCTAGATTTTAACTATATCTTAGTAATAAATAAGAAGCTAGTCTAGTGTTCTAAGTAATAAAAGATTAATAAGAAATTATATAAATAAATAGCTACTTTAGCCTAGTGTTTAAAGAATATAAAGTTAGTAAGAAATAGTTATTAGTAATAATAAATCCTCATAGCTATATTATAAAAAAGTAGCTAAGTAGTAAGTATTTTAAATATAAAAAAGGTTACTTTACTTAAAGTAAATAAGAAATAAGTATAGTAAAAAGGCTAACCTTTATAGCTATAAGAAGTAGGCTTAATAAAAGGGGCTCTTTTTATAGCTATAAGAAGTAGGCCTAGTAAGAGGGAAGGCTCTTTTTATAGCTATAAGAAGTAGGCCTAGTAAAAGGGGTAACCTTTATAGCTATAGGAAGTAGGCTTAATAGAGGGGCACTTTTTATAGCTATAAAGTAGGCTTAATAAGGGGGCTTTTTTTAAAGCTATAAAGATAGTGCTTCTTATAGAGGCTATTTCCTATAGCTATAAAAAGAACTCTCTTATAGAGCCTATGTCTTATAGCTATATAGGTTAATTAGTTAATAGTAGAAAATAATAGTAGAATAGTAGTGTTAGTGTAATTGCCTTTACTACCTTTATAGAGATATACTTTTTTTTAAACTAATTAGAGAAATAGAAACCTTATGTCTATATAAGGCTTATGCCTATGTATTAATTCCTTATGCCTATATATTAATTTACTTTTTTAAATAACTTTATATATAAAAATAGGCTTATTAAAAGTAAAGTTATTATAAGAACTAATTAGAGTCTCTAATTAGTTAAAACAAGAGTATATATAATTATAAAAAAAAGAAAAATAAGTATTATAATATTAATACTAATAATTATATAACACCTAGTTAGTTAACTATAAATAGTTATAATTCAAGGTTAAAGGGTATAGACTAGTTATTTAGCCCTTAGTTATATTAAGAGAGAATTAGACCTTTAGTTAGCTAGAATAACTTAAGTTATACTTAAATAGTATATAACTACTTTATATAATAATAGTAAAGTAGACCTATTTAGTTACCTAATAAGAAGTTAATTTACTTCTATGTTTTATAAAGTATATATATATATAAAGCCTATTTAATATTTTACTTTATAAGATATATACTCTTGTAGCCTACTTAGTATAAAGAATAAAGTTATTTTTATTCTCCTCTTAATATAGCTTAAAAAAGATACTATTAAAAGCCTAGATAAAGAGGGTATTATAGTTAAAATACTAGCCTTGTCTTTACCTAGGAGGTTAGTCTTACTTTTACCTATATACTACCTAGGTCTTATATAAAAGGTACCTTTTCTATTAACCTTTAAGGCTAGATTTCCTTAATCTTAACAGTATAGTTAATATTAATAAAGCCTTAGTATTTAAGTTAACTACCTATTACGTTATTTTCCCTTAGTTAAAGTACTACTAGAGAATAAATTTATCTTCTTTTTTACTTCTATAGAGGGCGCCTACTACTCTAGCTAAAGAATAAGATAAAAAATAAGATTATAATAAAAGAGAAACTATAAATAAGATTAAAGAAAAGACTAAAGATAAGATTAAAGAAGAGACTATAGGCTTTATAAGGCCTACTATATAAATAAATCCTTATTTACTTTATAAAATACTTACTTTTATAGCTTACTTTACTATTAATACTTAGTTAATAAGTTTTTAAGTCTATAGTAGATATTAGTTTTTTATTTTTTAATAACTATAGTACTTAAGCCTAGGTATATTTATTTATTATTAAATAGGCTTTATATATATATATACTTAGTAAAACGTAAGGGTAAATTAACTTCTTATTAGGTAACTAAATAGGTCTACTCTACTGTTGTTATATAAAGCAGTTATATACTGCTTAAGTATAACTTAAGTTATTCTAGCTAACTAAAAAGTATAATCCCTTCTTAATATAACTAAGGGCTAAATAACTAGTCTATGCCCTTTAACCTTAAATTATAAACTATTTATAGTTAACTAACTAGGTGTTATATAATTATTAGTATTAATATTCTAATATTTATTCTCTTTTAGTTATAGTACTACTAAAAGATAAATTTAGCCTCTTTTTTACTTATATAGAGAGTACTTACTACTTTAGTTATAAGATAAAATAAAAATAGGATTATATTAAAGAAAAAATAAAAGATAAGATTAAAGAAAAGACTATAGACTTTATAAAGTCTATTATATAAATAGATCTTTATTTACTTTATAATATACTTACTTTTATAGCCTACTTAGTATAAAAAATAAAGTTATTTTTATTTTTATCTTAAGATAGCTTAAGGAAGGTACTACTAAGGGCCTAGATAAAGAAGATATTATAGTTAAAAGGTTAGCTTTACTTTTACTTAAGAGGTTAACTTTACTTTTGTCTATGTACTACCTAAGGCAGTGGCCTAGTATAGTAAGGGAAAATATATTTAAAATATATTTTTATTAAGGGCTTTAGAGAGTATACTATAGTTATAGAGCTTAAAGTTACACTAGAAAAAATAAAAAAATTATAATAATACTAAATATAAATCCTACTTTAATTAGATATAAAAAGCTTTAAAGTTAAGGTTAAGGTTACTAAGAGATTAATTCTTTTATTAAATATACACTATCTGTATCTTGTATTTTATATTTTTTTAAAAAACATAAAAATATATTTTTTCTTTAATATTTATTTAAATCTTAGAAAAATATTTAAAGTTACTAGCTTATAAATCTAGAGCTTTAAGGTCTTAAAAGTAAAAGAGGCACTTAAGAAAAACTTTAATAAGTATATATATAGATTAAATCTAATTCTTTAAGGAAAAATATATTTTAAAATACAAATACATTTTTAATACACTATAGTAAGGCCTCTATAAAAAGCCTTTCTTTTATTAACCTTTAATATTAATATAGCCTTAGTATTTAAGTTAACTACTTATTACCTTATTCTTTCTTAGTTATAGTACTACTAGAGAATAAATTTAGTCTCTCTTTTACTTATCTAAAAGGCACTTACTACTCTAGCTAGAGAATAAGATAAGAAATAGGATTATATTAAAAAAAAAATAAAAAAAAAATTAAAAAAAAAAAACTAAAGATAAAGTAAAAGAAGAGACTATAAGGTTTATAAAGCCTATTATATAAATAAATCTTTATTTACTTTATAATATACTTACTTTTATAGTCTACTTAGTATAAAAGATAATATTATTTTTATTCTCTTCTTAATATAGCTTAAAGGAGGTACTACTAAAGGCCTAGGTAATAAGGGTATTATAGTTAAAAGGTTAGCCTTGCCTTTGCCTAGGAGGTTAGACTTACTTTTGCCTATACGCTACCTAGGGCGCCTATAAAAGGTGCCCCTTAGTTATTCTATTTATATAAAAACGGCCTTATTCTATTTCTATAAAAACGCCTTTATTCTGTTTCTATAAAAACGCCTTTATTCTATTTCTATAAAATATATATATAGTATCCCTGCTAATTTCCAAAAATATTATTTTATAATACAGGTTTTTTTCTAATTCTAAACTAAATTGTTTGTATTTATACAGATTCAAAGCGTTCAGCTGTTCTACAAGGAAGATGCGGCTTAATAGAACTGTATTATACACAGAACTCATGACTAAAGCTAGAGACTAGAAAGATGCCTCGTTTAACCTAGAAGAGAAAGTATATAGTCTTCATAGAGATCTCATTACAAGAGATATGCCTATAATGGTCGCGGTACCAAAGGTAAGCCATTACTATCTCCCCTTAAAAGGTGAAGTTTACTTCAACACACTCGTTAAATTCAAATTTAGGAAGGTAAAAAGATTCTCCTCTAGCAATTCAGGGAAATACTTAGCAAGAATCCTGATACAAAGGTTTCTGCCTATAATCATGGCGATAGCTTGACTACCTTTGTTGTAGCAAAGGCCAAAGAAGCAAAACTTTTTAGAGGATACACAAACCATTCCGACAATAATACAAGTGCTAAAGTAGGCTACATCTGTGTTAGTATGGACATAGATGGAGCAGATCCAGATGCAGTCTTTAAGACCATAGAGGCATCTACTAGAGCGTCTATGTTCTATGTTGCAAACAACAATAAAAGTCAAATTACTTAATACTCTGCTAACATCTTGTCTACCAAGGCCAGTGCGGAAATTAGTGGTATCTTGGGTGGGAATAATGGTTTCCTAATATATACTAAAGCAGATGCTAAGTTAAACTTACTTAAACTCAAAGGAAGTGTATTTAACGCAGAAGTTAGCCTTAGCGCACAAACTGACTTAGGATTCAAGGACTACTCAATTAGAGGCCATATCTTGGGAGCAGGTTTCACATTTGGCAAAAGGATCTCGATTTCTTCACCTTTTGGAAGCTTTAGGATAGACATTGGTCAGTTTTTTAGTTAAAATTAGAATAGAGGGAAACAGTTAGATATATATTTGCTTAGTTATAGTTACTTATAGGGTAGGACTAGTAACTAAAATTCTTTAACCCTAATTACAGCAGATTGTTAGGTTTAGGTTAGAATAAGTAATAAAAAAAACGTACCCTTAACGGTAGAGGGTAGGCGTATTTAGGTTAGAAATAGTAACTAAAATAATGTTAGTACTGTAGGGGTAGCCTAAGCCTTACTTTTCTGACCTGTATTAGTAATAATGTGCCCTATTATACTAACCCTTACTATCTCTCTCTTCTTACTAGGCTGCTGCTATTCTGGTCTAACTTGCTACTGCTGGAAACGCCCTGCCTGCCGTGTCTGCTTAAATAACGTCTGAATCTTGATATCCTTGGCTGTGCCCTCCTCCTCTTCCTGTGCCCCCTGGGTCTGCCTCTGGGACATATTAGATGCCTCTTCGCCGTCTTCGCACCCCACGCGGTCCACCCGTCCGTCTAACACCACCCACCAGCATATGTCCCCGTTGACATGTCTTACCCCTCCTCCTATAGTAGCTCAGGTTTTACTATAGATTTATTATCTTTTACTCTTTATCTGAAAACACGTAATCGTTGTATAGCATGAACTTGCTATCCTCTGCCTTATGTCTCAGCTCCTCACTTGAGTAAATCAGTAACTCCCACTTAGCTGCCTTTGCCTGACTACCACCTGGGTAGATGCTTCCACTGGGTTTGGAGTTCACCAGTGCATAGGGACGCCCTGCGACGTACGTGCTCAGCCACAACGTCGTGGGCTCCTTGTCGCGAACCGCCGCGTCTAGACAGTCGGTGGCATTGTTTGTTCTGTGAACGCTAACACCTAGTTCCTTTGCATACTCTGCCAAGTAGTCGACAAAGTAGTTCTGGTTTGGGCTGCTAGGCCAGCTATTATTCTGCTGCTGATGCGCCTGCTCCTAAAGCTCCTCACAAGGCTCTGGGCGAAGCTCCTCCTAAAGTACTTAATAGTCGCCTTCAATACACGTCATAGCTACCTGTAACTTCATGTCCGGCTGGAGGCGCGTAAGTTCTTTCAGTGTTGCCTCCCTTGGAACCAATGGCCACCAGATTAGGGAGGGCATATTGTACTAACTAGGACTGTTTAGCGTGATGTGCGACAAGTCGTTAACCATGATAAAGCGTGCTATGTAGGCAGCCTTAATTAAGGACTGATCTGGTTGGAGCTCTTGAAGTGACCACCACTTAGCAAAAGTGGTGTTGTGATATATGCCGCGGACAATAGCTTTGGCCTCATTGTAGAGCATTACTGGCCTACGAAGGCGTACGTAGCGGTCTAAGTTGCCCTTGTAAGCTGCCATGAGAATCAACGCGTCTTTATTGGTGGTTGGTAGATGTGATAATAGGGGTGTGTGAAAGAGTGTAAGATCTTTAGCGGCAAGTGGTTTGTGATTAGTGGTATCTGACGAGACTTGATTGATGTTGTAGTCTTCAGCGATATTGAAGTAGTGTAGCCCCTATTCTTTGTACTTGTCTGGTCTAAGCTGGACATTTAACGTTGATTGCACAGCTACATTGCCGTTCATCCAAGCTGGTGATGATGGGCTATCAATGTTAAGACGCCGGTTGTAGTCATCAAGGACTTGATAGCAGACGGGCTGTCTTATAATAGTATCGAAAATAGCTTTAGAACCCTCGTTGTGTAAGTTGTCCCTAGCTTCCTCTGCTATTGAGACTTCTGGAAGGATATCTAGCTTACTGTAGAGCTTGGTATAGCCTGTAACTGCATATGCCTGACCAACAAGATACTGTATTCCAGGGTACTGCTTTGCTAGGTTGTGATAAGTATCCTTATTTGCCATGTGCGGGTACCAGATACAGTATGGCTTGTCATTGTCTGCTAGCATCTCTGGCACAACGTTGCTTATGATGAAACGCGCGTTGTGAGCGTGGGCATAAGATCTGTTGTCTGATTCCAAGCAGAGGTTTTGCACAGCCTTGGAGCCTGCAAATGCTTCATTATGCTGAATTCTATGCACTATGTATGCCCTGACCCAGTGATCCGGATCTGAAGGAAGACGGTGGCCATTGAGAGCGTCTAGGTGGTCGTCACTGGGCGGCGCGTGAGGTGGCATTGTTAACGTGAACTTGGATAGAACACCTGGCCTGGCGTATATCGAGTATTTGAATAGCAAAATACGAAAAATTACCCAGAAAGTGGGTGATAAATGTGCTAGGTGACAGCAAATTCCCAAGCGTGAGGGGAGGATGGATGGTTACCTTATACTTGTTTATATAACTAACTAGAACTGGAAAGAAACCTCCCTGTCCATGGAGCAAGGCCTGCCAGGGCCTACTTAGCGCTAACCGTAGGCCTTACCAACTGGAGATCTGCCTATGCATTATGTATGCACCATGCTACTACCCTCCCTTAGGTGATGTAAAGTACCTGAGGTGTACGGAGTATAGGGTACGTACTTGCCTTTTCTCGGTTATGTGTGGGTTTATTAGATATTAGAAGGCATCTTATTTGAGGCCGTCATCAGCAGCTCAGAATAAGAGGTAAAACACTCTGAAACTCTATAACTTGTTAAATTCTGATATTAAAAGGAGGCTTTGCCTTTGCGCTATTATGGACTTATCCCTATTTAATAGGCTTGACAAGCCCCCTCAGGACAGTATCTGTGGCTACATGTGAAAGCATAGAATTCTATGTAGTATGCGTAGTCATTGCTGTTCTTGTTAAGAGCAAATCCTGGGCATCCTTGTAGGCCTGATCTTGTGGGCGCTGCCGCAGCCGCTGAAGCAGATTTTGTGCAAATGTATGCATCTGAATTACAATGATTGTAATTGTAGTTGAATGAGCAGAGCCCGGTCAAGCCAGGTGATACGCTGTCTCTTATAGTACCGCCTGGGGATCATTGGTCAGCTGCTGAGAACGCTTTACATGAAGGCACTCTCTATGCTTTCTTTTAACTACTGAGTTTAATTCTGACATCTGACGCATAGTTAAGGGTAAGGAGAAGAACTTGGAGTTTCTTAGTAAATAGCATAGATAGATAATCTCCTCTTGGGAGCGGAGGCTGTAGAAATATGCTATTCATATGACATATACACGAAGAAGAAATGGAAGCTTACTAATGTAATGAATCACCAAGGTTGGTGAAGCGTTAGTGGACGAAGAAGAAGCCGACTGGGTGCTGGTAGCCTTGGAAGAAGCAGCTGCGCTAGTCTTTCTGGATACCGAAGTGGTGGTGCTGCTGATGCGAGCCGAAGTAATAGTCGGTGTCGGCAGAACGCTCCAGGTTGGGCGGAGACAGGCCAGTTCCGCCACCGGCTCCACAGCATTACTGATATTAGCGCTGTGCCCGAAGACTGTCACTACTACATACGTCCTGTTGGACGCAGCATAGTATGATGTTTGATTGTGAGGGTTATTGAAACCTGTACTAAGCATCTAGGAGTACTGGGCAACCTCGTCAACAGTAAAAACTTTTGCTGTCTTAGTGTTGGCAAGGTTAGATGCATCTCACCCTATTAAATAATAAAAGATTAATTCTATACTTATAGTGTTTTAAGCTATTAGCCTAGACAGTGGGAATGGTGTACTTACTAAGTACATTAGCTCTTATAAGACCAAGGGTATCCTGGCAGCTCTTAACAACAGGGTCAAAAGCGTTGGCGCTACATATAGCCCTAGTTTGGCTCTTAAAGGATCCCCAAGACTGTATAACGCTGATCTTTAGATCTTGTTGACATTCTGTTGGGAGGAATGAATAGTTATGTTTAATGTTTTGTGTTGGGTCAGGGACAGTGCTGATGTAGTAGTGCTGGCAGATATACTACGAAGAATCCATGCTATTTGGGAAGCCATTACTACCTATAAGTAAAGGTGGCACGCTGTATGAAATAGCTGCTACGTTGGTCATGACGTTCTCTTTGGTGACTGAGCTTGGGAATGGCACGTCGTTAGCAATGCGTAAGTGTGCTGTGAACCTGGGCAGGGCGGTTCCTGGGTACGGCTTTGTCCAGTCAGCCTGCAAAGCTGGCCACATCTGAGCGGCTTGGAGAAGCAAAGCCAGCTTCTAGAGTTGGCCATGAAATCTCAACCATGTTAGATGCGTTAGTGAGAACCTGAGTGTTGTCCAACCAGATATAGGACATCTCTTGGGCCTTTGCGGCGCTGGAGAACAGGAAGGCCAAAGGTAAAGCCTATGAGCTGGACTTAAAGCGCTGAGACATTGTGATGGTTCTGGGAGAGGAATAAGAATTGCTAAAGGCCTGAATTTAAGCAAGAGAAGAGAGATGAACGGTCGAAAAGAGAGTGACTGGGCAAGCAGCTTTCAGCTACTTATATCTACATTGACTTGATCTATCTTTGAACAGAAAGCAAGGCTATGGCCGTGCTGAGACATCCCTGGGTTGCTAAGACCTTGGGCATAAATCGGTGGGATTTGATATTGATCCTGGTAATCCATGGTTTTATCGAAAGAGGATGGATTGCTTGTTGCTCGCCGGCTGAACAAACCTCTTGGTACCCACAATGCAAAGGAAACTAATAAGCGGAGACTTTTGGATGTCTGACTCCCTTGGAGCATCCACCCTATCTGATTAGGGTTGTGCCTTTGAACTAATATTATTCTCCATAACCGACATCACAGTGGGACTTGTGACTTATTTAGAAATATAATGGGATATTATATGTAGGGGCGCGGCGTAGCTAAGGAGTTAACGGGTGGCTGACTTAAGAGTAATTATACCTTAAAGGTACTATGCTTTCTACTAATTCAAAGTAGGGCTATAGTTTAGGTGAAGTTTTGGGAGGATTATTCTAGGCTTGCCCCACTGTTATACTACCTTTGCATAGACTATGCTTACATAGTACTATAGGGTTGTGTGCAGACTCTTAGTAGTGTGACTATATTCTTTATGCTTTAGGGATTAGATCTATAAATAACTGAGGCCTTTTAGCTCCTTGGGATATTACCTGTATAAGGCTGTTATCTTTAGCTGGGCTTTATAAGAAGAATGCCTATTATATGAAATTTGCACCTTTATCTATGCTGTGGTTAAAAACGTAGGACGTAGGCCTAAGGCTAAAAAATCAGGGAGGATGTTAAGGTGATTAAATTGAAGCATTATAGGGATTAAAGGCAGAAGAAACATATCTGTTAGATATTAAAAAAGGGCTATTGTATAGTAAATTTAGCGCTAAATAATATATTAGTTTAAAAAAACTTTGTCCTAAATAGGTAATAACAGTAAGACCTGTTAGTATAATTTAAGGATAGTTAACCTGTAATTATATGTCTACAAGGTAAGAACTTGGTGGTGCTCTATTACTATGGCAAGGAAACTACGTTTGTTTCTAAAAGGGTTATGTTTATCTGTTGTGTTACTAAATTAGATATCTCTGTAGAATGTTACCTAGTTAATGAACTTTTGTTTCTAGGCTCCCGTTGTATTATTAACTATGCTGACAGTGTGTCTTAATGTCGCCTTATTCTTGGGGTCTTTAAGAGTCTTTTGGGTGTCTACAACGTCCTAGATGAGGCTTAAGTCACCTGCTCCTGTGTTAGCCAGATTGAACCTTAAAAACGAAAACTCATTAAATACTATAATGGGCAGGAATCTTCACTGTAAGACATAGTATATAAGGGCGAAGGGACAGGATGTGACTTACTTGGGTTTGAAACTGGAGAGCTATGAACTAGTAACCCTGGAAAAACACGTTTCAGATCCTTACCTAGATATTTTACTTGATGGAACTCTGATTGTCTTATAGTAATAATCCTAGAGGCTGCTTTTTCTAAACTCTGAAGCTTGTTCTTGATGGCATTGTCACTAAGCACGCTGTGGGCTTTGAGGATTATGTCACTGATGCTTTTGATGTAAGAGTTGTATTTGATTGGATTTTTCTTATCCCAGTTGGTCGCCGCGGTTTCAAGCGCCATTTTGTTCTTAATGGGGGAGCGCTAGATTTTGTTGGCTAACTTGTCTATATTGTCTTGGATCTGAGGTAACTTGGGTTTCCCAGGGAGATTGCTTAGTGACCAATGGAACTTGTTCCAGTTCATCTGGCCGTTGGCGAGAGAACCTTTGTTGCTGTTGTTTATGACATTGGTGTGTTTTCTGTCTGTTGCAATGGTCTTGTCCAGTTGTTGGAGGATGTAGCCCTGGCTGGGACCTTTGAGCTTAAAGGCAATATTGTAGGCATAGTATAGCTATATCTTTTTGTAGGGAGCCGCATAGCTGCTGGACACGAGGACAGCAAAGTAGGCCAGGATAAAAAACGTTCATAGAACATGAAGCCACATGCTGAAATTGATACAAGACTGGCTGAAGGTAGAAGGAAAGGAGTTAAGGATAATACAACAGGAGAACGAATTTGTAAGAAAATGTATAATAATTGAGTTGGAATGGATGTTAAGACCTTTGGTGTGAAATGTGGTTGGGGACAGGGAAGTATTTTACGAGAATGTCAACCTTTTTTAGGGAGCAAGGTGAGGCTAAATTTGTAGCTCCTAACGAAGACATGCACTAAAAGCTCAATGGCCCTGAAAACAATTATTGGCAGTGGCGCTTGCGGAATTCTGATTGTATTTTTTGAAATTAATACCCGCAGGACAGAATGGGTGGGTTTTGAGAGCCCCTAGCCAGGTTTAGAGTCTTGCAGAGTAACTTCCTGTCATCACAAGACCGTAGACCACATCCTGGGTCACGATACTGAAGATATCGTAGGTCAAAGATGCGCTTAAGGCGGCAGTATTTCCGTACCTACACTTACCCTGAATGGAATACCCAAGCCCATTATTAGGCCCTAGTTTTGGGCTTTGTCCTTTTGAGGCAGGTGAATCTTGAAGCGCCGTTGCTACACACAATCCTAGAACGGTTGGTTCTAGCTGTTGGTTTGAGACGTTGGCCGATTTACGTAGTCTAAGAGGGAAGTGTGATCTCAGGTGTGTAAAAAATGCCTTTCTTAGAAGATACTTTGGGGTACAAGCTCATGGGTATGAGTAGTTTAAAGCTCAGGTTCTCTGCCCTGTAGGGCCAAAATTGCTGGGATTCTGGTGGAAAAAATCCAGCGCCTGCGCATTTTAATTTCTTATATGAATAGTCACTAGGCTGACCTACTTCTATTGAAGCCTGTACATGTATAAGTCCTGTAGGTTCCTAAGCCTCTACCCTTGTAGGCTCTAGTTCACTATCACCTAACTTCAATGCTATGGCGTTTAGTACCAAGTTGCAGAGGCCTACATAAGCCAAGAATTAGCCGTAAACCTAATGATAGCTTACAAAATGAGTGTTGTGTTCCCTTTGTGGCACAGCATCAGGCTGTTTGGGCCTGAGGCCATTAGAGCCTGAGGCAGAGGGCCCACAGCCTTCAAGGGGGTCATTTTCCCCTCTTATTATTTTGCACAGAACTTAGCTTAGACACCACAACTTATCTATGTTTCCCACAGGGTTTTATCTTATTTACTTTACTCTAACTAATTTTCTAGTCTCCTCTTCTAGAAATAAAAGAAAGATAAGGCTATTGCCTACTTTTACCTTGTTAAGTTAATTAACTTAAGATTCCTATAATTATAGATTAAAAACTATACTTTTTATTAAAAGTAAATAGCTAAAACTAAAGACTATTATCCTAGCTACTAATAACTATTAGCTTTAATTATCCCCTAGTAAGGCTAATATAGTAGACTAATAGTTACTATTTATACTATTTTACTCTTAGCTTAGTAACACTAGCCTAGATTTATTATCTTTAACTATAAGGCTACTATTAGAATCTAAATATTCTCTTATAACTTAGTTACTATTATTTAGAACTAATTACTAGTAACTTAGGTAGCTATTTACTGCCTTATTAGAGTAAATATCTTCTATAGTGTTAATAAGTAAGCTAGTATTCTTACTATTTTCTCTATTTAGGACCCCCTTTTTTACTCTAAATAACACCTTTATAAGAGATAATATTATAGTACTTATTAAAAAGGCTTTACTATTCTAAGGAACTATAACTATTAAAAGTACTACTTAGTAATTTAAGGGCCTTATTCTTATAAAGTATATATAGTAGGTACTAACTAGAAAAATACTACTATTATATTATTAGTTAGTACTAACCTCTTAGTACTTACTTTCTTTTAAAATACTACCTTTAAATACTACTAACCTTATAAAAGAAACTAGTCTACTATAGACCTTATTTAACTCTTAGTTCTAAAGATCCTAATTAAAGCCTCTAGCTATAGATTAAAAGAATATTTAAAGAGTTTATAATAGTAAAGAAGGCTTTTAATACCTTTATTAACCTAATTATTAGTTTAGGACTTAAGTATAATAATATAATATAGGTAATACTTATTAACTTTATTAGGACCCCTAGATTAGTTAGTAAGGTTATAAGTAGACCTTATCTTATTAATAGTAATTAATTTACCTTTAACACTTAGTACTAGTTAGCCTTAATAGACACTAAATAGTGTTACCTTTATCTTTATAACTACCTATACTAAGTTTTACTAGCTTCTTAACCTTTAGTAATAAGACCTCTATTATATAATAGTTATCTAGACTCTACTTTAAGTTTAAGAAGTTCTAAATCTAACCTTACTTATTTCTAGACTAAGTTATTAGGACTATTAATATATTCTATAATAGTAAAGCTACTAGCTTCCTAGATAATTTAGGTTACTTATTTAATATTATTTAATCTACTTAATAAGGCTTAGTATCTAAGGCTAACCTTAATAAAATTAAGTTAGTACTAAAGGAATAGTTTTTACTATAGCTAAATAATAAGCCTAAGGAAATAGCTAATATCTAGACCTTTTATTAAGAGTATAATAAGGTGTTACCTACTTACTATAATTAAGTATATACCTTCTTATAATAAGCTAGTAGGTATAATCTAGTAGCTTTTAGCTTATTATCCTTAGCTAAGATAATAGTACTAAAGTAGTTAATTTAATAGTTTATAGAAGGTATTTATAAAAAAGACCTTAGGTGTATAGCTATTAACTACTTTACTAGTTAAGCCTTTAGCCTTTAAGAGTCCTATAATACTATTTAACTTATATAGTTAGTTTTAAATAATTAGTAGTAATAAAAGTAAGGTAGGATTAAGTATAATTATACTACTGTCTTAAAATAAATCTTAATTAATTAAAATAATAGTTACCTAATTAATAAGATTATTTAGCACTAGTATAAGTTACTAGTAAATATACTATTATTAGACAAAGGGATCCTTTTACTTTTTACTTCTCTAATCTTATATTTATTTTACTAGGTTACTATACTACTAGTATAAATAGTTTTTACCTTAATTCTTCTTTTTCCTTATAGTTATAGTTAGGCTTACTAATCTTATTAGAGAAATAATAAAATAGAATAGCTAAGATACCTATAATAAATATACTTATTATTAGTACTAAATACTTAGCCTTATATATTAATAATAAATAATAACTAG